TTTGTTCTTCCACACTTCCAGGCATGATGTCCCTCTCCAAGGACCAGTCCCTTCTTGCAACATGCCCAAAGTATGTCAGACGAGGCTTCAGAGTCCTTGCCTCCATGGAGCAGTCTCGCTTCACCTTCTCTAGGATGAACCTGTTCTCCTGGCAGTCCATGGTATATTCAACACTCTTCTCCAGCACCACAGCTCAAAGGCATCAATTCTCTTTCTATCATCCGTAGTCATTGTCCAGCTCTCCGACACATAGCAAGCAATTGCAAAGACTATGGCCTGGATCAGGCACACCTTAGTCTCCAGACTGACATCATTGCTCTTCAGTACTCTGGAGAGGTCCCTGGCAACTGACTTTCCCAATGCAATTTGTCTCTTGATTTCCTGGCTTCTGGTACCAAGAATGTTGATTGTGGAGCCAAGGAAACTAAATCTGTTAACAATCTCAATATCTTCACCATCCATCATGATGATGCCACTTGGCCCAGTGGTGAGAATCTTTGGGTTTTTTTTATGTTGAGCTTCAATCCATATTGATGACTGCAGTCCTCGACCTTCTGTAGCAAGTGCTTCAGGTACTTCTCAGTTTCAGCAAGCAGAGTTGTGTCAACTACATAATGCAGATTGTTGATGAGTCTTTCTCCAATCCTGATGCCACATTCCTCCTCACACAGCTCAGCCTCCCAGATGATCTGTTTTGCATATAGATTGAAAACTATGGAAACAGAATATAACCCTGGTGTACACCCTTCCCAATTTTGAACCATGCAGTGTCCCCTTGCTCTGTTCTGAAGACTGTCTTCTGATCCAAGAAAAGGTTTCACATAAACACAATCAAATATTCCAGGATTTACATTCTTCTCAGAGTTAGCCATAGCATGTTGTGATCCACACTGTCAAACACATTCACATAGTCAATAAAACACAGATAGACATTCCTCTGGTACTCTCTGCTTTCAGCCAAGATCCATCTAAGGTTAGCTATAATAGCCCTCGTACCACGGCCTATTCTAAATTCAGCCAGCAGTTCTGGTAGTTCTCTATTTATATACTACTCCAGTAATTTTTGGATAATTTTCAGCAGAATCTTGCTTGCATGTGATATTAATGATATTGTGCAATAATTTCTGCACTCTGTTGGGTCACTTTTCTTTTGAACAGAAACAAATATACATCTCTTCTGGTCAGTTAGCCAGGTGGTTGTCCTCCAGATTTCTCGGCACAACTTAGTGAGCACATCCAGAGCAGCATCTAACTGTTCAAATATGTCAATTAGTATGCCATCAATTCCTGGGACCTTGTCTTTTGCCAATTCTTTCAGAGCAGCTTGAACTTCCTCCTGCATCATCACAGGCTCTTGCTCATAAGTTGTTTCATGAAATTCTTCTGTGTCAGCCAATTCCTTCTGGTATAGTGACTCTGCTTTTCATCTTCTTTTAATTTTTCTTGGATCATTTAATATTCTGCCCAAAGTATCCTTAAGTATTGCAACTCGTGGCTTGAATTTGTTTTCCAATTCCTTCAGCTTAAGAAATGCTGAGAGAGTTTGGCCCTTTTGATTTTCTGACTCCAGCTCTACATATTTCATTGTAATACTTTGCTTTGTCTTCTCAAGCTGCCCCTTGGAATCTTCTGTTCAACTCCTTAATTTCTTGGTTTCTTCCCTTTGCCTTGGCTTCCTGGCACTCTAGTGCAATATATCTTCTGGCAACAACAAAAAAGTAGAGAATATTTAGTTGATTAAAGAGCTAACTTCCTATAGATTGAAAGCCCAGTGTCTGTGTCTCATATTGAATTTGTGTGCTTAATAGTTGTTGTAGTCCATATGTACCATTGAGTCAGAACCAACTTTTAGCTGACCCTCCAGCTGGTTTTCACAGGCAGTAAAGCGTGCATAAGCTAATTGTCCTTCTTTCTCCTGTGAGTTTCAACAGTGTATCTTTGGGCTGACAGTGCCACCAGAACTCCCTGCTAAGTACAAAACCATTTTGTTTTTGTTTTTTATTTTGCAGGTCATTTAGACTGGGACTTTGGACGTACGTGTCTGGGAGAGGAAAAGAAGCATCATTTTAGCACCACATTTCCTGCCATTCTTGTACATTTCTCTTTACAGTTTACTTAAGCAAACATTGGAGTATTGTTTTGGATGTTGATGTTCTTCTTTTAAAAGTGTATGGCCCTGCCACCTTTGGTAATAAATGTATGTATCTTATGCTACTTCCTTGTGACTGGATGGCTGTTGAGTACAGAGAGTAAATAGTATCATATGTCAGAACAAGCTGGCCTTTGTAGTCTTCTACAAATGTTTAACATTGAATATTGCAGAGCGGTGGGGGAGTGGAGGTAATTTTCTGGGTTTCAATCCAAGATAAAGTTAAATCTATCATTTACTGCCTTTACTATGTTCTCATGTAAAAACCTTTATTTTAAATCCTTTCAATAAACCATTAAAAGAAAATGAGTGCTAGCTTTCTTCCCACAAACTATAAGGACTCCACATGGTTCACCGCTGTCTAGGTGGAACTGACTCGTGCCTGACCCTCCATTGGTTTTCCGACGCTGTAAATTGCATGAAGAGGAGAATTGACTATCTTTCTCCCTTGGAACTGCTGGTGGATTCAAACTGCCAGATGGGCTTAGCCTTTGAGTTACCAGCGTAGCTTCCTACAGACTATCCCACCAGAGTTCCATGTATAATGACTGCTGGGAAGACAAAAACCAGCTCTAGTCTTCTAGTACCTATCCGAAATGCCTGCAAGGCACATGGATTAACCAGTAATGTGTGGGAATAGCAATTTGATCAAAGAAATATAGTACATGTTACTCTTTTCTTTTAAAATTTCTTTTTTAGGATGATCTGAGTGAACGTTCACAAAGCAAGTTGAATTTTCAGTCAACAATGTTTATATATTTGGTTTAAAAATATTTATTATGATACGCACAATGTAATCACACTTATCCCATTCCCTTTTTATATTTCTCATTTCCATTAATCCTCTATCCAGCCCCTTCCTGTATTGGGGGGGGCTTTACCCTTGAGCAAATGCTACTTTTAAAAATTTTTTTAACTTTGTGTCACACTACATCTTTCTTGATGTTTAAATGGGCCGCCTTCTTTCTGCAGGGCAGGTTCATTAGCACACACCTGCGTGGCTTGTTGACTTTTGCTAAAGATTGTGGTGTGTGCAGACGGGGATGTTGTGGTCAGGAAGACCAAAGGAACCTTCTCTATAGTCGGTTCCATTGTGATTGTAACTGACTGGAATAAGAGCATTAGGAGCGAAGAAGGAGGCAGCACAGTAATCAACCTGGGGTCCCCTCTGGGTAGCCGGGTGTCTAGTTTCACAGGACTCTGCTAGTTTTGTTTAGTTTTTACTTGTAAGGCAGTATTTCTTCTTTGTGGCTGTTGCTGTCTATCTTTGGTATCTGTTCTGCATGCCATGTGAGGCTTCCCACAAACAGCATAGTGAATGTATTACAAGCTGTGAGGCTGGAAGGTGTTTGGTTTTATCCTTCTGTACACGCAGGGGAGAGATGAGTGAGGGACAGGGCCACCTCCACCACGGCATATCTGAAGGGTGCTTCTAAAGCCGCTGGGTGGTGCGAATGAGTGCGATCATCAACTGTTGACAGAAAGGTTGGAGGTTCAAGTCTGCCCAGAAGAAGAAAGCCCTAATGATGAAGATGCTATGGAGCCCAGTTTGGTGCTGGCACACAGAGGGCTGCCACGAGTTGGAGTTGCCTCAGTGACAATGATTTGCTTGAAATCATTAGCCTGGCAGTGCTGGGGAATAATCTTCCAACAGTCATCTGGATTTGATGCCATGGTGATGCTTCTGGGAGGACAGGCAAGCAAATTACCCTAAAACCAAAATGCCCTGCAAGATATTTGGGAGCTGGGATGAAATTCTGTGCATTTTCCTGAAATTTGAGTGTCTAAGCATTTCAGGAAAGTTCTTTATTTTTTTGGCTAAAAGAGAAATATTGACATTTATAATACAACCCCTTCCTTTCACTTCCAGAAGTCAACTCCCACTCAGAGTGACCCTCCATTGTTTTCCCCAGGCTGAACCTTTATGAGAGGAGACTGTCCCTCTTTCTACCTTGAAGCAGCTGGTGGATTTGAACCAGCAAGCTTTTGGTTAATAGCGCAACCCATATAGTAGTCCATCAGTGCCCCTTAATCTCAAGACAAGATATGTCTATTTCCTGAATTTGCTGCTTTTATACCATTTAAAATCTTAGATTAACGTTTAAATATTGCTTTCTTTTCCTTTCATGCCATGAAGGTAAGAAATATTCACAAGTGAAAATGAAAGGAAATTAAAAAATATAAATGCAGGCCCTCTCATCACATCTTTCAGTAATAATCACTTTTAATATTTTCATGTTGTCATTTTGTGCCCTTGAGTCCGCTGTGACTCACAATGACCTTATGTACAATCTCTCTGAACCCTGCTCTATCCTGCTCTCATCTTTTTTCTTATATAAATATATGCAAAGTAATTTTTCAATGAAAACCGTACCATGCTGATTAAATCATTTAGGGAACAATCGCCTTCCTCATGGAGAAGATCTTTTGTTAGTACAAGTCCTTCTGGAATTTGTCTGATTCTCTGGAGTTACCCCAGATGGAGCCCCCGACCTCCATCTCAGCAGTTTCCATAGGCAAACATTACACAACGCTGGGCGTGGAATGCCATTTCCAGAGGGCTGCATAGGATGAGAAGAGCGCCCTTTGTCTCCAAGGTCATAATGGCTCTGCTGACTTCAATTCCTTTCATTGCAGCTGGTGAGAACAACTCGAAAATGCTAGAGAGAATGACAGCCCCCTGCCCCATGACACCAAAATGAGAAAAAAAGAAAACACAGAAATCCCCTTACGCACGACTCCCAGGCCCCTTTTGTATTGGTCCTGCCAACGCAGCAGTCACCCTGCTATATATATCAGCTGCCACGCTTGTCCTCATCAACTGGACGCTGATCATCCGCTGTCAACAACTATGGGAAAGGTGAGCTGATGGAGGGACCAGGTCCCATCCACTGAGCCTCCTGGCTGTGGGGCTGTGTGCCTGGAGCCTCCTGGAGCCTCCTGGATGTGTGCCTTTTTTGCTGATTGCCTGCTCTCACCTTATTTCCCACTGCAGATCACCTTCTACGAGGACCGGGGCTTCCAGGGCCGCTGCTACGAGTGCAGCAGCGACTGCCCCAACCTGCAGACCTACTTCAGCCGCTGCAACTCCATCCGCGTGGACAGCGGCTGCTGGATGCTCTATGAGCGCCCCAACTACCAGGGCCACCAGTACTTCCTGCGCCGGGGCGACTACCCTGACTACCAGCAGTGGATGGGCCTCAGCGACTCCGTGCGCTCCTGCCGCCTCATCCCCCATGTGAGTGTGGCTTTCTCTGGGATCTGTCTGAAAATGAAGGCTGTTTTTAAAAGTCAGTCTTAAGTAGGAGGTGGCAGTAGAAAGCGGCAGCGAGGCTAGTTTCGCATCCCATGTGTGCATCTTTTCTTGTAGACTCTGCGTGTTATCTTTTAAACTACCTGTTCTTTACTTTGTATTTTAAGTATCATTTTTAAAACCCGAAAGACCAAAGGTAAGGGGGGGAAAGCAGACCATGAAAGAAACAGAAATGATCTGTCCAAAATGTGTTTTCAACAGACAGTTGTGGGAGACTGTAGATGGCAGTGAATAAAATCAATGTTGCTGTGTGCACAGGAAAAGCTCTGATGGCAAATATTTTGTTATATGTATTTTTGACACACACAAGCTGTGATTTCTTAAAGTATCATTATGGCTCACAGCAACCTAGAAATCCAGTATATCAAATTTATACATACAATGTAAACTATTTAATTGCTTAAAAATGCATTTTACTTGTTTTTCTATTTAATTATTCTTCCTAGAGAATTTAGGCCCCAATGGATGGCACCCAAGCTTTAATTTAGCTGTCAATACCTCTAAGCTCGCTGGAAAGAAGATTGTCTTATTATCAAGGGCTGACAGGACAGAAATACTACAAGTGGGTGGTTTTAAGGAACAGAAGTTTACCTTGCCACTGCATAGGAGACTAGAAGTTCAAAGTCAGGGTGTGAGTTCTAGAGGGAGACTTTCTCTTTCAGGGAAAGGCTTTGTCTCTTCAACCTCTGCTCCGCTTTCCCTCATAATTTTCATGTGGCCTGACACCTATCTCCCCTCTGCCCTGCTTGCTTACTTGGTTATTCACTCAGTTTGCTCCCTTTGAGCCCTGGTGGCCTAGTGGATAAAGGGTTGTACTGCCAACTGTAAGACAGGTGGTTAGAATCCACCACCTGCTCCATGAGCAATCTCCTCCCATGAAATTTATGGCTTCTGAAAATCTGCAAGAGTGTCAGCTATGAGTCAGTTCCCTAGATCAGCACACAGTAACACAAATGACATCAATGAGCAATATTAGACTGGATTTCAACCACAGGCATTGCCATCCAGGTGGTTAAAACCCTTAGCAGCTCTGTAAAGCGGAGAGGAATTGCCCCCACAGGTTTGCCAAAGCTGTAATCATCAGAGAAGCAGACTGCCACCCCTTTCAGCATCCTTTTCCTGTACCTGCACATGGGGGGTTCAAACCACTGACCTTTTTCGTCACTGAGGTCTTTAACCACTGTGTCAGTAGGGTTATAGTGCCTATTTTAGGGAACTACAACTCAGTCAGTCCATGACTAAGGTGATGATGCAAAAGTGAACTTTGAAATTCCGTGTTTCCTGGGGAGTGATTGCAGAATTCTTAGCAGAGTGGAATGTGGGAGGCCTGTGTCATCAAAGCAGAGTTTAATGAGGACGATTCTGGCTACTGAGGGAAAAGGAATAAACTGGAGCATAGGAGACCAGAAAGGAGGCAAGAGTCAGGTTCAAGCTTGAACTGAAACAGAGGTTATGAAAACAGAGCTGGGGAAAATGCACCCTTTCATTTTTATAAGAGCGTAATAAGCTGTGTCCCATGTTATCAGGTGCTGTTGAGTTGGCTTCAACTCTTAGTGACCTTGTGTGGCTTTATGTGTGATCTCTGACACACAGCCTGGCTTCTTTTTTTTTTTTTTAATTAACGGCCTGGCTTTGTGCTGTCCTTACAGTTATTACTAGATTTGATCGCAGTGTGTAGCTACTGCGTCAATCCATTTCACTGAGGGTCTTCTCCTCTCTCACTGACTCTGTACTAAGCGGGATGTCCTTCTACAGAGTCTGGCTCTTTTGAATAATATGTCCAAAGTATATTAAATTAAGTCCTATCATCATCAGTTTTAAGGAGAATTATGACTGTACATCTTAAAAAAATTCTACTAATTCTTTGATCAGTCCATGTATATTCAATATTCTTTGCCAACAGAAATTGAAAGGCATCAATTCTTGTTTGGTCTTCTTTATTCATTGTCCAGGCTTTGCATTAGACTATTGAATTAGACTATTGAAAATACAAAAAAGAAAAAGAAAAAAATACCATGACTTGGGACACATGCACACCTTAGTCCTCAAAGTGACTTCTTTAGCCTTTAACACTTTAAAGAGGTTGTTTGCAACTATATCACATGAAGATCTCTGCGTCGGATATAGAAGTAGTCTCATTAACAACCTGTGATATGCAGATAACACAACTCTGTTTGCTGAAGGTGAAGAAGGCCTGAAGAACTTAATAATAAAGACTACAGTCTTCAGCATGGATTATGCCTCAGGGTAAAGAAACAGAAGTCCTCATAATTGGCCCGTCATGATAAGTGAAGAAAACACTGAAGTTTTCAAGCACTTCATTTTTCTTGGATCCACAATCAACATCCATGGACACAGTGTGTACCATAATGTCCATGAAAATCTTCTTACTAGTATTACAGAAAATAACTATGTGTTGATTTCTTTTTATATATAGGAAAGGAAACAACAGCAACAAAAACCTGAACCCAACATTGCTACTGAATCCATTCCAACTCCACTGGATTTCTGAAGCTATAAATCTTTATGGGAGAAAATTGTTTAATCCTTCTCCAAGATGCAGTTGGTGGATTTGAACTGCTGACTTGTTGGGAACAGATCAATTTCTAATACAATATACCAACAGGATTCCTTTTATGTACATATCATTTCATTTCTATTGTTGCTGCTGAAAATATACACAGCAAAATATAATCAGTTCATCAGTTCACATGTACCACTCAGCAGCACATTCTTCAGGTTGTATAATTACTCTCACCTTAATTTTCTGCGTTGTTCCTGCCATGTTAACATTAACTTAGGGACCTCTTAGGGTCTTAACTAATCTTTCAAGTTACTATTGTCAATTTGATCTCCTACAGATAGTTATTTCCAGAGCATAATGCTTAAGGAAGATATCTTTCAGTAGTTAAGCTAAACTATTGTTTGGATTTAAGAAGACTTCAGGCGCTACTTTCTGTTTAAGGTTTAAAGATATTGCTTTAACAAAACTAATACAGCAGATGGTCTTAATTTTCCAAAGGTACTTACTTCTGTTTGGGAAAGAATTTTCTCGGATCATGAACACTAAGAGGCTGTAGCAAATTTTAGTAAAGCAAATAACTTCAGGGGAACCTGAAAGAGGTGGTTAGAAGTTGAAGGATTGTTGGGGTCTTTTCCTAGTTTAGCTGTTGAATCATTAGACTCACACGAATTGGCTTAACAGGATCTGAAAGTCTCTTTATCTCTGCAACAGGGCTGTTCCTAAAGCAAACCTTCCCAAAGTTCCAGAAGAGAACTTCTGGGCAGGAATGGGCAGGGAGGTGCGAGGGCTGGGACTGTAACCTCTGTTTCTGGCCATTTACTTCTTTCTTGTTTGTCACCTCAGCACTCCGGCACTTACAGAATGAAGATCTATGAAAGAGATGACTTCAGAGGACAAATGTCAGAGATCACAGATGACTGTCTCTCTCTTCAGGACCGCTTCCACCTCAATGAAGTCCACTCCCTGAATGTGCTGGAGGGTTGCTGGATCCTCTATGAGATGCCCAATTACCGGGGGCGGCAGTACCTGCTCAGGCCAGGGGAGTACAGGAGATTTCTTGATTGGGGGGCCATGAATGCCAAAGTTGGTTCTTTTAGACGAGTCATGGATATTTACTGAAATGTTTACACTCTCCATTTTCTTCTTTAGAATCAAATAAAATATTTAGCTGTGTTTCTGGCACTAATTGAGTCTCTGTCTTTTTTCCCCAATCGATTAAACATTCAAAAGCAATAAGGCATACATGAGAAATACTGTGTTTTCAGACTACCACAATAAAACAATTATAAGGAAATTAATCCAGTTAACTTTTTAATCTCTCAATGTCTATAAAGGTTAATTTACCCTATACTGTAGCCTGTTAAGTGTGCAATAGATTACTAAAAAGTTTGAAATAAAACAGGGTATTCATTTGACACTCTGGAAGGCAGTTTGGTGTTTCCTCAAAAAGCTGAACATAGAAATTCCATATGACCCTGCTATTCCACTGCTTTGAACACACCCTGAGAAAGTTAGAACTGAGACATAAATGGAGATTTGTATGCCAGTGTTCACAGTAGTGTTATTTATCATAGCAAGAACGTGGAAACAGCTCAAATGTCCAACCACATTTGAATCCATTGAGAAATTATGGTACATTCACATGATGGACTACTACACAGCATGCAGGAGAAGTGATTTTGAAATCACTGCCTATCTGGGAAGGGACTGGATAGTATTATGCTAAGTAACTGACCCCATCCCATAGGACAAATACTGTATAAGACCATCGTCATAAAAATAGGAAGATAACTAGTAAAATGTGTATGAGGATCAAAAGGTTGGAGGGGAAGAGCAGAGGAGGCTGAGAATGGGCAGGGGGTGGGTAAACATAGGGTCACACAATTTGATGGGTGGAGGGTGGGGTGGGTAAAGGAAATGGGGACGATCCACTATGAAGAACAATATATACAAACATTGTAAGTAAACCAGTATAAAATAAAAATTTAATTAAAAAAAACCCAAAACACAACAACTGGGTATCCATTTGAAGAAAAACAACAACAACAACAACAAAAAACCCCACACCTTATATAAGACACTAACTCAAATCTATCAAAGATATAAATATAGAACCTAAAGTAATACATAAAATTTTGATAATACATCAAAGAAAAAAGAAGAAAAAACCTTAGGAGTGCAAATTTATGATGTAAATAGACTATCAGTTATACCAAAAAGACAAATAGCAGAAAGTAAATGAATAAAGTTGTAACTTCTAAAAATTAATTCTTGTGTGTATCAAAAGACTTCTTCAATAGAATTGAAAGAGAACCTACAGGTTACAAAAATGTATTTGGAGAGGATATATCATACAAGGGACTCATCTCTAAATTTATGAGAAGTTTAAACACTTAAGCAACCAAAAGACAATGCAATTTTAAAAACAAGACATTCACAAAACCAATAAGCACTCATTAGCCAAAAGAAAGATGCAAATTAAAACAACAATAAAATACCATCTTGTCCCAAAAATAATATCAAAGTTCAAAAAGACAGAAAACAGCAAATGCTGATGAAGGGGTGGAGAGACTGGAATTCAAACACTCTGTTGATAGGACTATAACATGGTGTAACTTCTGTGGAAACATGGTACTGTGCTTCCATTAAGAGTTGGAAATAGAAACACCATTTGATCCAGCAATCCTACTAGTAGACGTATGTCACAAAGAAAAAGAGGCTGAAACAAAAACGTGTATGTGCATCCATGTCCATTGCAGAATTATTTACAATAGCAAGGAGATAAAACAACCTAAAAGTCTGTAAACAGATGAATGGATAAATAAACTATAGTATATACTAAGCAATGTTAAAGAGTAATAAGGAATACTATGCAGGAAAGAGCCCAGATGTCCAACCACAGTCAAATGGATTGAGAAATTATAGTATAGTCATACATTGGAATACTACACAACACACAGGAGCAATAATTTTGAATTTGCAAATTATTACCTAACTTGAGAGGGACTGGAGAACATTATGCTGAGTGAACTAACTCAGTCCCACAAAGACAAATATTGGATAAAACCATTATTGTAGAATGAGTATGAAGATCCAAGGAGGGGTTTGGAAGCAGAGGGGTGAATTTGCGTGTGTGTGGGGGGATTAATCATGGGATTGTACAATTTGATGGGTCGGGGTGAGGGAAATTGGAAGAATCTGGTATGAAAAACAATGTATTTAAATTTTATAAATAAACTAGTATAAATAAAAAGAAATACATTTAAAAAAGAATATTATGTAATGGTAGAGCTCTGTTGACCCAGCAGGTAAGGAGCTGTGCTCCCAGTGCAGAGGATGCAGTTTGAATCCACTGGATGTTTCATGGGTGGAAGAGGGGCAATCTCTTCCTGTGCAATTTACAGCCTCTGAAAACCTGCAGGTCAACTATGAGTTGGTTCCAACACAAAGGCAATACTAAGGAATAATGAAGAATTTGAGAACTTTTGACTATCATGAACCAGGAGAATAGTATGCTGAGTAAAATAAACTAGACACAACAGGACAAATACTATATGTGTCCCTTATCATTAAAAAAATCTAGGGAAAGTGTACTAATAGAATAAAATATTTTTTAATGATTACTAGGAATGGGAGGTGAGGAGAAGAGGCAGAAAAATTAGTAATTATTTGGGAGAAGGAAAAAAAAAATCTGCATGTGTATATTTTACCGCCATGGTCTTCACAATAACATGCTATGCAGCACATAGATGGACAATGACTAGGGATGATAGAAGGAGAATTGATGTCTTTGAGCTGTGGTGCTGGAGAAGAGTATTGAATATACCATGGACTGCTAGGAGAACAAATAGGTTTGTCCTGGAGAGTGTGGAGCCAGGCTGCTCCTTGGAGGCAAGGATTCTGAAGCTTCATCTGACATACTTTGGATATGTTGCAAGGAGGGATCAGTCCTTGGAGAGGGACGTCATGCTTGGGAGGGTGGAGGGACAGAGCAGAAGAGGAAGGCCCTCAATGAGATGGATCGATTCAGTGATTGGGTTAATGGGGGTAGGTGTGTCAGAGACAATAAGGTTGGCTCAGGATAGAGCAGGATTCACAGCTCTTGTACATCTGGTCACTATGAGTCACAGGTGACTTCATGGCACATAACAACAACAACAACAACAACAACAGCAACAACAACAACAACAACATATCATATGCATTAATAATAATGATTTTAGTAACAACTAGCATTCACTGGGAACCTGCTATGTACCAATCACTATTTTAAGTACTTTAAAAACATTGGCGATACTTGTTTATTAACACGGCCCTCATACTTAGAGAGCTCACATGAGACAGTGCTATGCAAGGTTGTGAATTGTATCATAAATATGTTCAGATACACACATTCAAATATTCAGCCATCTGCTTCCTCGCCCCTGCATCTATGTGCAAAATTGAAATATGAAAGCCCAACCCCCCCCGAAGTAAGGCAACTCTTAGAGATTAAAACACTTTTTAAAAAAAAAAAAATAGGAAAAAAGGAGAAAAATGGAGTTCTGGTGGCCTAGTGGCAAGAAGCTGCATTGCAATCCCAGAGGTACCAGTTCGAATCCACCAGATGCTCTGCTGGAGAAGGAAGGGCTATCGCCTCCTGTACTAGTCAGATCCAATTTGATGGCACACACACAATATAATAATAACATTTAAAAAGAGACTTGTTAATACAATTAGTATTCAAATATGCATACCAACAATGAAAGTCAAAGATGAGGAAAATGGAAAAAAGAAGAAAAGTGTGAAATATTGTGATAATTGCTGCGCTTGACACAGACATATGAAATGAGCACACACTGTTGGAGAAATGACACCAAAAGACTTGCTCATCACAGAGGGCGCAAACCTTCAATTAGTAAAATTAGCAATACTTTTGAAGGACAATAAAATGATGTGCAGTAAAGTGATGTACACCTGTAATGACTTAGTCAAACATGAATTTACTTTCTTGGGGGGAGAAAAAAAATTGTATTAAGTATTAGCCAGCTAGACTCAGTTCATTTGATCCCAAATTTGTCGGCAACATCCAAAGCATCATAGTGAGAAAATTGAATATAGGCCTCTTCTCTCCATCAGGCCTAATCAAGGTGCTGACCTTGGTCACATCAATGTCACAGAGCTTCTTTACTGCTTGTTTGATTTGGTGCTTGTTGGCCTTGACACCCACAATGAACACAAGTGTGTTGTTATCTTCTATCTTCTTCATGGCTGACTCTGTGGTCAGGGGAAATTTGATGATGGCATAGTGGTCAAGCTTGTTTCTCCTGGGGGCGCTCTTCCAGGGGTATTTGGTCTGCCTTCAGAGTCTCAGTGTCTTAGGCCACTAGAAGGTGGGTGATGTGCGGATCTTTGTGTGTGTGGCTGTGGATGCCCTTCAGGACTGCCTTCTTGGTCTTCAACACATTTGCTTTGGCTTAAGTTTTGGGAGGGTTAGGGGCTTCCTCCCCTTCAGTGCTGGCTTCGAAGAAAGGATCCAAACATGCATTTTCAAGATGAAAAATCACCTCTGAGGAAGAGATTACCATTTCTCTTTTAATGAGTAAACTATGTAGGCTTAAAGTCAAGTTTAAATGAATTGGGCTGAAGTCATTGAAAGGTCCTCTGTGATGTGTGTAAAGAGGTACACTGCTAACCCAATGGTGGTTCCTCTCTGATGGTTTGGATCCACAAGGGGCTCCTTAGAAGAAAGAAAGGCAATCTTCTGCTTGATTTATTGCCTTGAAGACATGTTTAAAGGTCATCCATGAGTTGGCTCCAATTTACAGCAGTGAGTGAGTGAAATTTATTTGTGGTTAGTCCTTTATGAGAATATTAGTAGCTAAAATGACAAATTAGTGCTTACTGAAATTTTTCAAATGTCTTCTGTAAGTTATGACCATTAATTACCTTTCCTCTACCATCCAGCTGTCCATTGATGAGGAGAGCTGTTCTAAGCTTTTGTACTTTTACCTGACTTCTACAAATAAACAAACTAGTACATTATCACCATTGTAATTCATATCTTTCTAAAAACCACCACTCTCTTTTTCCCATTTCTATTTCAACATCCCATTCCTCCATTAGATTTCCACTCCAACCACAATTCACTATCTCTCAGCTGTATTTACTTTGAAGAACTTCGGGATATTCACCAGACTACGTGCAAAGGAGGAAACTCATATCCTTTGCAGCAGAAGAAAGGTATTGTCACTATACTCAGACAGTATGTTGTTGTTGTTAAGTGCCATCAAGTTGCAGGCAATTCATAGTGACACTATGAAGGAGAATCCTTGACACTTGGGTGCCTTTCATCCTGTCTCCAGGCTCATAGGGTTTCTGGAGGCAAGCTATTATGGAAGTGGATGCCACTCCTCCTTTTAAGCTTGTTTTAATTGGGAAGCTCTACCCCACTCTCTGTCTGCATTGGGTAGCCAACCATTAACGCATTTGACACATCCGTGTCACAGTGTTGAGCCTCACTGCAACCACAAGTGACCGCGGTATGGCAACCTGTACACCAGGGCTATATGAATAGAGGAATGTCAGACAGTATACTAAGTGAAAATAAAGAATTGACACTTTTCCAGAGATATTTGTTTAACTGTATGTTTGTTTTATTTCTATCTGAAAATTGGTTAATGTAGCTATTAACAAGTTACAATAAGATGACACTGCCTTGGAGGTAAATCGGTAGTAGGTGAAATGAGATGACATCAGGAATAAAGTTTAAGGAGATTGTAGCCCTGACTGTGGACTGAATTCAGACAGCCAATCTCCAGAACTGAACGAAAATAAGTCTGTCTTGAAAGCCATCTACTCGGCAGTATTTTGTTAAGTCAGCCCTAGGAATCTAAGGCACTGAGTGTCTTTAGTTAAATCTTTCTTCTTACCATTTGTTACTTCAAGAGAATGACATCCTCCTTCTAATCCCAACAAAAAGAGTAAGCCAACAGTGAGGAATGGTTTGGGGAAGAGATTATGCCCCAACTCATCTTTAATCCTAGCTCTGGTGGTCTAGTGGTAGGAAAATGCACTGCAATCCTGAAGGCATGTGGTTCAAATCCACCAGCTGCTCTGCGGGAGAAGGCTGTGCAATCTCCTTGCATTGGATTAGCTGCCTCTGAAAACCCACTAGAAGGTCGGTTTCAACCTAATGATACTCTACAACAACAACAACCACCATTGGCCTAGAGGTAAAAAATTGTGTTACCAATCCAATGGCACGCAGTTGGAACCCACCAGCTGCTTTGTGAAAGAAAGTTAAACAATCTCCTTCTCTGCCATTTGCAGCCTATGAAAACCCACTAGAGCATCAGCTATGAGTTGGTTCCGACTCAACTTCACACAACAACCACAACATTCCTCCTTTTGGACAATAAATAAGGAAAGTCAAAGAAGAATTGGTGCCTTTGAGTTGCAGTGTTGAAGAATACTGACTAAACCATGGATTTACAAAAGAATAAACAAATCTGTCTTGAAGGAAGGATACCCAGAGTGTTTCTTAAAGGCAAGGAAGGTGAACCTTTATCTCATATACTTTGGGCATGGGTCAGGAGACCATGCGGGCATATGTCAGGGAGGGTCATTCCTTGGAAAAAGACATCGTGCTAGAGAAGGGGAGAGTTGGAGAAAGAGAAGAACACTCTCAACAAGACAGACTGACACAGTTACTACAACGATGCACTTAACCATGACAGAGATTGTAAGGATGACTCAGGACAGGGCAAGGTCCAGATGTGCTGTTCATAGGATCACTATGAGTTACAGCGGACTCAGTGGCATCTAACAAGTCCCTTCCTTCTCTCCCACTCCTCTCTAAGTTTATATTGATGAATTCAGGAAACAAAAGGCTTTACAGTGAAAGCAACCTCCTGACCTGGAATATGGGAAGATCTGCCCCCATGATCCCACTGACCTCTGCAGTTGATGCTGGAAAGGATTTAGACCACAGGACATGCTGGGTGGGGTGAACTCCAAAGAGCAGGAATTCACTCTTAGATTGGACATTGTTAGAAAATGGAGACAATGATCGTTATGATTGTTGTTGTTATTAGGTGCCCTTAAGTCGAGTAGCACTCATAGGACCCCATGAACAACAGACCTGAACTCTGCCCTACCCTGTGCCGTCCTCATCACCTCTGACACATTTGAGCCCATTGTCGTAGTCCCTGCATCAATATACCTCGAGAGTCTTCCTCTCTTTCACTGACCCTCCTCCTTTCTGGCATTGTCTTCTATGATAGAATATCCCAACAGGTCTTATCTGTAGGGAAGGGAGTCCAGGACAGAGATGATTTTTTTTAAAATTTTTTATTATTATTTTATGTGTGTGTGTGTGTGTGTGTGTGTGTGTGTGTGTACCGTCAAATCGGATCTGACTGGTACAGGAGGAGATTGTCCCTCCTTTTCCCAGCAGAGCATCTGATGGATTTGAACTGTGCGCCTCTGGGATTGCAGTGCAGTTTCTTGCCACTAGGCCACCAGAGCTCCCCTCAGAGATGAATTTTTATTGGTAAAGAAGCGGCAGGTTTTCAGTTTGATGGGGAAAGATTATGTTTGGTATTCTGCAAGTGATCCATTGACCTTGTATCTATCTGTGCTTAGATGAAATTATTTTGTCTCATGTCAACATGGTTTCAGAGTGACCTTGTCTCACACTGGTGTCCTGAGAGCTTGTTTATATCTGATTAGGATAAAAAGTGGCCCAGCATTGTGCGGAGGGCCAGTTTCCAAATGCCAGAGGCTGCTGCCTCTCCTCCTTTGCTGAACTCTCTCCCATGACTTCTTGTTATTGTTGTTGTTACGTGCCATCGAGTCGCTTGCGACTCATAGCAACCTTGTGCAGAAGAGCCCTAAACGCCGTTCAATCCTGTGCCAACCTTGTCGTCTCAAACACATTCATTCCCACCACTCCACTCACAGAATCGATCCATCTCATTGAGGGTCTTCCTCTCCTTCACCACCCCTCCACTCTCTCAAACATGATGTCCCTCTCCAAGGACCAGTCTCTCCTTGCAACATGCCCAAAATATGTCACACGAAGCTTCAGAATCTTGACTCCAAGGAGGGACCCTGAATTAGCTGAACCCCTGAGAGGTTATTTGACTTGCTGTGTTTACCCAGCTGCTGAACGCACATCCTGAGTCCAGGCAGCCCATAAGGCTTTCCTTCTTCTCTCACCCGTGAGAAGCAGAAACAACCTAGGAAGAACACACTGCTTAAGCTTGGACATGTTAACCTCTCCCCTGGCTCTTATCAGGGACCATGGTGGCACAGTCATTAAGGGCTCAACTGCTTACTGAAAGGTTGTGGTTCAGGGAATTCAACACCTTTGGGTTGGTGGGATGGATCCCTCCATACTGATTTCCATTTGAATGGTGTACACCCACCAAGTGGAAGGTAATAGTTGTAAAGCATGGGGTCCAGGCAGTGAGACCTGGCAGAGTTCAGAATGTCTCTGCCTCTGGAATGGCAAATTGTGTAGAGACAGAAATGACAAAGTGGTCTCCACTATCAAGGAACCTCAGGGCTTGCCACATTATCCTTCAGCGACAGCCTCTTTGGAATTCTTGAGCATGTCCATAAAAGACTGATTTTGAGATGGGAGCAGAGGGGTGAGGATGTGTAGGGGTGAAATCAAAGAGTTGCACAGTCTGGTGGGTGAAGGGAGAGGGTAAAGGAAGTGGGAAAGATCTGGTGGGGACCCGAAAAGACAGGGTAATGGTGGGCATAGTCCAATGGTGACTAATTTTATAAAACATAATGAATGAGAACGACTGTACGAAACACAATGTGAATGAAGAATAGTGTGAAACACAATGTATACAAACTTTGTAGGCAAATCAATATAAAAGAATTTTTTAAAAAAAGATTGATTTCCCCCTAAGAAAGTCCACAGAGCATGACTGAACAACTTATATAGAGACAAGGATTTCAGGTCAAAAGTTGAGCCCAGGGTCCTGATAAATGGAGAGAACACTCGAAAATCCAAATCAAAGCATCTCTAAGGCCTCATCCGAACAACGCCTACAGGACAGCATTAGAATGTTCTAGAGAAAGAGGGCAAAATCGACATTTCTTTCCACTGAATGCAGCATGTAAAAGGGATCCACAAAATCCCCTTACTCACCAGCAGGCCCCCTTTTGTGTGGTTCTTGCCAACGCAGCAGCCGCCCTGCTATATAGACCCGGGGCTGAGGCCGCCAGCCACACTGAACTGCATCCCTGTCGAGCAGCCATGGGAAAGGTGAGCCCGGCGCACAGGAGTGCGAGGCCGAGGAAGTGCCTCCAGGGCTTTCCAACATTTACAGCCTTGGAAGCCAAGGCAGCGTTTCTACTGTGTCCTATGCTGTGGAGAGGAGTCAGAATTGACTCAACGGCATTTAAAATATATGTACATATATAAGGTTTAAATGCATTGCCCTAAAGGCGAAACTTTGGTGGCATAGTCTTTGGGAGTTGCACTGTTATCCCAAAGACAGCGGCTCTCTGGTGGTTCGAATCCACCAGTAGTTGCACTGGGCAATCTCTGCTCACAGAATTTACCACCTCTGAAAATTCACCCGCTGGAGGATCAGCTATGAATCACTTCCAACTCCAGGGCAATGAGGCTGAGTTTGAAAGGCTCCATGAATAAGAACCGAGTTGCTGACAAAAAGGTGGCCAGTTTGAACCCACCCAGCAGCTTCTCAGGAGAAATGCATTGCAATGTAGTCCCATGAAGCAGAGTTCCTCCCATCTGTCTCTGTGGATAGGGAATTGATTCTTGGCAACAACAACTGCTGGTGGTTGGTGGCTTCTGTTTTTCTTTTTGTGTGCAAGAAGGTCTGTTGAAAACAAAGGATAGTTTGGAATGATTTTTGCCTTGCAGATCACCTTCTACGAGGACCGGGGCTTCCAGGGCCGCTGCTACGAGTGCAGCAGCGACTGCCCCAATCTGCAGACCTACTTCAGCCGCTGCAACTCCATCCGCGTGGACAGCGGCTGCTGGATGCTCTATGAGCGCCCCAACTACCAGGGCCACCAGTACTTCCTGCGCCGGGGCGACTACCCTGACTACCAGCAGTGGATGGGCTTCAGCGACTCCGTGCGCTCCTGCTGTCTCATTCCCCACGTGAGTGTGGCTTTCATTCATTCATTCGAGTTCTCTCTGTGCGCCCGCAGCTCAGGGTCAGAGGGCGTTAGAGTCTGGGCAAGAGCAGAATCAGGCGCAAAACCAGGAGGGAGGCTAAACGAGAACTCATGGGAAGGAGGAGGCAATTTCATCTTTAATTTTGCTACCATATCATAATGGCACCTAAAATAAGACTTGTAAAGGAGAAGAAGGCAGTATTTCTCACCATTTTTTTCTATAGTAAAGGAATAGATCATGAATAAATGATATAGGTTCCACCGTGTGCTGATTAAGCACTGAGAACCTCTATTAATATAAAGACGTTTTAATGGTGGGGTAGTAGGTGGAGCCCACTGGCTATATTTGGGCACACTCTCTCTTTAAAGCGTTATATCGCTTCAGAAACCCAGTGGATATTCGCTGAGTTGGAACAGACTCTAAGGCAATGTTTGGTTTGTCTTTTTTAAAAACTATTGTTCTAAAATCAATGAAAATCCAAGTTCTCTATAAACTTTCATTAAAATCGCAAGTTGGTTTTTTTGTTTGTTTGTTTGTTTGTATGTGTACCATCAAATCACATCTGACTGGTACAGGAGGAGATTGTCCCTCCTTCTCCACCAAAAGAGCTCCCTTTAAAATCGCAATTAAAAAAAAAATACTTTTCTTAATATTTAGTCTGTGGTAACACAGACTATAGGGATTTGCACTGCGAAACCAAAGGCCACATCTCTCCGGGGGTTCAAATCCACCAGTGGCTCCTTGGTAGAAAGATGCACTGTGATTTAAAACCCCCCTGGAGGGTCATCTAGGATGGTCTGCTAGAAGTCAGCTTCCATCCAACTACAATGAGTCAGTGAGAGACTCACAACTCAAAGACGGACTACTCAAAGGTCGTGTTTAGTTCCGTTCTGATTCCAAATGACTAGATCCATTTTCTACCAACATGTGTGACTTTTAAAGTCCTATTTTAGTAGCAAATTTATGCACTAGTACAAATGTGGTCTGTTTGCTTAGTCTTGTGTAGGTAAGACCTCGGATGAGATGAATTGATATAGTAACTGGGGCATTGGGGGTTGGTGTGTTGGAATTAGTGAGACTGGCTCAGGACAGGGCAGGGTTCAGAGCTGCTGTACATAGGGTCACTATGGGTCGACACAACGGCACATAACAACAACAACAATCCTATTGAAAAATATTAATCAACTAAATTATTCTATTTCCCCCCAAACAGAGGTTTGAGTTAGCAAAGAGACTTAGGAATCAAGTTTTTGTTAGATTTAAATCAAAGGTCAACCCTTTCACAAATTCCATCTCCTAGAAAAGAAACAGAATGTTATTAAAGGATGTGTTAACTGGTAGTAAGAAACACATCCATCACTGAATTGTTCATGCAGAACTGGTTGACTCTGAGATAAGCTCTGCTGTGAATAATAGTCATAAAAATAGAAATTATTAGGGCGTTGTGGTGGCCTAGTGGCAAGACTGCACTGCAATTCCAGAGGTACTCGGTTCGAATCCACCAGATGCTCTGCTGGAGATGGCGGGGCAATCTTCTCCTGTACCAGTCAGATCCGATTTAACGGTGCACACACACAAAATAATAATTTTTAAAATATGGAAATTACAGAAAGAAAGAAATCGAGTCACACATAGCACTCACAGAGATCTCAGACTCTGCATGGTCACACTGACCAACTTCCCCCTTCTTAGTCTGTGTGGTGTGATCGGACCAAGACTGGAAGAGGCTCATTTGTTTTCTCTCTGTGGCCCAGCAGACAGCCTCTCACAGGATGCGGCTCTACGAGAGAGACGACCAGAAAGGTGTCATGATGGAGCTGAGCGAGGACTGCTCCTGCCTGCAAGACCGCTTCCACCTGGACGAGATCCGCTCTGTCCACGTGCTGGAGGGCTGCTGGGTCCTCTACGAGATGCCCAACTACCGCGGGCGGCAGTACCTGCTGAGGCCGCGCGAGTACAGGCGCTACCAGGACTGGGGGGCCATGGACGCCAAGGCTGGTTCTTTGAGGAGGGTGGTAGACTTATACTAACATAGGTTAACAATACTGTTTTCTCGTTTTGGAATCTAATAAAGTATTTAGTCTGTATTGTCGGCAACCCCTGGCTTCTGGTTTTCTATTACGTGTGCAAGTGGATTCCTCCTTGAAGTTGAAGGGCGAATGGGGGGCTGAGGGCTGTTTGATGAGCAGATGAGTCTTGGTACGGTTCTGAGGTGTGAATGGGCCATCATATAGCCTGTCACAGAAAGAAGACCTGAGTCTCAGGGGAACAATGATTAAACACTAGTCTAGTAACCAAAGGTGTGCTTGTGGAACCTATCAGCCACCTTCTGGGAGAAAGACACGTCAAACAGCTTCTGGAAAGACTCACAAATCTTCCAATCGATTGTCATGGAGTGGGTGCAAGTCACAGTCACCCTCCTTTGGGTTTCTGAGGCTGTAAAACTTTAAAATCTTAAGGCCACTAAAAGAGTTTGGTTATTTTTTTCTTCTTCATAAATATTAGGTCATTCACTTACTGACCATCAAGTAGCTTTTGCTTCGTAGTGACCTTCCATTGGGTTTCCTTCCGTTGAATTCCTGAAGCTGTAAATCTTAATGTGAGAAGATCAGCCATTTCTAGGCCACAGAGAAGCTGGTGAATTCAAACTGCCAGAGACGCAGTCTGTGGATTAACAATATAGTGTCCCGTGGAGTAAGCCACCAGAACTCCTTCTTCTTTGGAAATCCTAGAGACAATTCTAGTCTGTCATCCACAGTTGCTGTGCTTCAGAATGTACTCTACATGGAACCTGTTTTGTGAAAGAAAAGGTGGGACAAATTTAGAGAATGAGATTGAATGACTTTTCCAAAGTGACACATTCAATTTAGTACATTCAACAACATTCTAAAATTTCCTTGGAACCTAAGGCTGTTGGAAGTCGCCAAAGGCCGAGTCACAGATGAGTGGTTCAAGGAAAACTCAGCCTGGTCGACAGTCTGATTAGACCATATTCAAGGAGTTGTGGCTTTATTTAGTTCCAAGTACACAATTACAGAGCTGAATGCCAGAACTGTCACAGGTCATTGCTGTATCTTTAAATGACCTTCCTTTCCTGACATGGGTTCATTGCCTGGCCAGTACAGCCCTTGGTCTGAAGGCTGAGTGAAGTGTATAAATGACACTGCTTTAATAGCACCCAAATAATTCAACTAAATTAATATGAAACACATTGCTGTTGCGTACTATTGAGTTAAAACTGACCCTCAAGTAGATTTTCAGAGGCAGTCAATGGCACAGGAGGAGGTTGCCCATCTTTCTCCTGTGGACTAGCTGGTGAATTTGAAGTTGTTGTTGTTGTTGTTATGTGCCGTCGAGTCGCTTGCGACTCATAGTGACCCTATGTACAACAGCCCTAAACTCCGCTTTGTCCTGTGCCAATCG